ATGACAATCAAATCCCCCCCCCCCCGTCTCATAGATTATGAACATTTCCAATGTAATTTAGATAACCAATCAAACACCCCTGTGCAACAAAAATCATTTTTCAAATTCATCATCATCCAAGTTTTTATCCCAATTATTTGGGATCGGCTACATGAATTATATTCTTACATCTTTCTCCATCAAGGACCATACTCCCAATAAGATAAAAAATCACTATATATTTTCTCACTAGTTCCATCAATGTCTTTAAATGTCACTCCTTAATTCATAATCGAAAAACAGCCAGTCAATTTTTTTCAAATTTTGTTATCAAATAGACCTTAATCATATTATAAAAATCTGAAAGTAATAAAAAGAAAAGAAAAAAAAAAAACTTGATAATCGTTGCTCAAAAAACTTGCATTTTTTCCCTAGCCTTCTTCAGAGTTGCAAAGATCTAAATTATTTTGGAGTCGCAAAAGAGAAGGGATTTGAGATAGAGAAGTGACTTTGGAGAGAAAAGCTTTGGGGGATTTGAGAGAGAGGAAAACGGAGAGGATTTAAGACAGAGAGAGAAAGGAAAACAGAGAGATAGGGGTCATTAACAAGAAAACAACGCAATATAGTGCCAAATGACAAAAAGGAGGTGTTGTTTAAAAGAAAACAACATACGAACTATTACCCTAAGAAAAATATGAACCCTCATCACAACACCTAATACTCGTGCTTTTTTCTGGGTAATTTAATGAGGAAGATAGGCTCCTACCCATTTTTTCAATAGATTAGGGAATTATATTTTGAAGGTGTTAATGGGTGCCCCTTTCTTAAAAAAATCTTAAAAAAATGGTAAGTCCGTAGAGATTTGGGCCCTTATCCTTTGGTGAGAATAGAGTCAAAGACCTCACCATGGGGCTCAACAATACTATTGTCAAAGCTACATGCTATTCTCGTGAACCTACTTGTGCTTCATATAGAAAAGGATCTGGTTTCCATGTGGCATATGTAAAAATGTTCATACCAATCCGCCAAAGGATTCAAATACTCATGAAAAAGGTCGACTGATATTGATGGAATTAACCATTTTGGTAACACGCCAAAGTCAGTTACTCCTTGACCGAAACGAATTCCTACGGACCCAACGAACAAATTCAATATGGCCAATAAAAGTAAGGGGGAATAAAATAACTAACAAAACTATTAAATAAAGAAAAAGAGATATTAGATAATACTACAAAAATATAGAAAAAGTATAAAATTTTGGAAAATATGAAAAAATAACAAAATAATCATTGGCAATACAATAACTCAAAATTTGTAAAGAAAATACAAAAAACAAATCTCATAATATAAAATTAAAACATTACTCATGAACAACAATCATAATTAGGGAGAAAATAAGTAAACCACCACAATTTATTCAAACAATTGAAAAAATAGAAAATTCACAAAGTAAAAAATTTATTAGCAGAAAATTTATTCTATGTTTCTTGTTCTTGTCTTTTTTTTTTTTTTATGTTTTTTTTTGGAATCTCTGTTTTTCTTTTCTTTTTTTAAATCGAAATTGAAAAATAAAAATAAAAAATCCAAAGAAAAGGCCTATTTTTTTTTTTTTTGTGTGTGTTTTCGATTCATTTTTTGCTTTAATATCTTTTAAAATACAAAAGCCCATGCAAGTTGCACCTTAAAAACCCAAAGTACAAAAAAAACTTGCAACAAATACTCTGTTTTTTTTTTTTGAGGATCTTTCATGGGGCTTTCATAAATTTCAATTGTAAATTCCCTTACAAATTACAATATTAAAAATTTAAAATTTAAAACTGCATACGTAAGGAAAACCCAAAAATATTAGGGCTTT